CATGGCTAAGGGTCTGTCGATTTTGTTTATTTTTTCAAAGAACCAACTTTTAGTTTTGTCAATTTTTTCAATTGTTTCTTTTGTTTCAATTTCATTAATTTCAGCTCTGATTTTAATTATTTCTTGCCTTCTACTTCTTTTGCTGTTGTTTTGCTCTTCTTTTTCTAGGATTTTGAGATGAAGCATGAGATCATTTATTTGTTGGTTTTTTCTTTTTTTAAGGAATGAACTCCAAGCAATGAATTTTCCTCTTAGAACTGCTTTCAATGTGTCCCATAGATTCCGATATGTTGTGTCTGTGTTTTCATTAATCTCTAAGAATTTTTTAATTTCCTCCTTGATGTCTTCTATAACCCATTGATCATTCAGTAACCTATTGTTCATTCTCCAAGTGATGTATGCTTTTTCCTTCCTTCTTTTATCGTTGATTTTCAGTTTCATTCCATTATGATCAGATAGGATGCATGGTATTATCTCTACTCCTTTATATTGTCTAAGAGTTGCCCTGTGACATAATATATGATCTATTTTTGAGAAGGATCCATGTGCTGCTGAGAAAAAAGTGTAACTGCTTGATGTTGGGTGGTATATTCTATATATGTCAATTAAGTCTAGGTTATTAATTGTGTTATTGAGTTCTATAGTTTCCTTATTCAACTTTTGTTTGGAAGATCTGTCCAGTGGCGAGAGAGGTGTGTTGAAGTCTCCCATGATTATTGTATGGTGGTCTATTAGACTCTTGAACTTGAGAAGAGTTTGTTTGATGAACATAGCTGCACCATTGTTTGGGGCATATATATTTATGATTTTTATGTCTTGTTGGTGTATGGTTCTCTTAAGCAGTATGTAGTGTCCCTCTTTATCCCTTTTGATTAACTTGGGCTTGAAATCTATTTTATTTGATATGAGTATGGACACTCCTGCTTGTTTCCGAAGTCCATATGAGTGATATGATTTTTCCCAACCTTTCACCTTCAGCCTATGTATGTCTTTTCCTATCAAATGCGTCTCCTGTAGGCAGCATATTGTTGGGTCTTGTTTTGTGATCCATTCTACTAGCCTGTGTCTCTTAATTGGTGAGTTTAAGCCATTAACATTTAGGGTTATTATTGAGATATGGGTTGTTGTTCCAGCCATATTTGTTTATTTATGTTACTAAACATGGTTTGTTTTCCTCTTTGATTATTCCCCCCCCCTTTACTGTCCTACCTCCCACTGTTGGTTTTCATTGTTATTTTCCATTTCCTCTTCCTGTAATGTTTTGCCAAGGATGTTTTGAAGAGATGGTTTTCTAGCTGCATATTCTTTTAACTTTTGTTTGTCGTGGAAGGTTTTAATTTCATCTTCCATCCTGAAGCTTAATTTCGCTGGATACACAATTCTTGGTTGGAACCCATTATCTTTCAGTGTTTGAAATATGTTATTCCAGGATCTTCTAGCTTTCAGAGTCTGTGTTGAAAGATCAGCTGTTATCCTGATTGGCTTACCCCTAAATGTAATCTGCTTCCTTTCTCTTGTAGCTTTTAAAATTCTCTCCTTATTCTGTATGTTGGGCATCTTCATTATAATGTGTCTAGGTGTGGATCTCTTATGATTTTGCACATTCGGCGTCCTGTAGGCTTCTAGAATTTGGGATTCTGTCTCATTCTTCAAGTCTGGGAAGTTTTCTCGTATTATTTCATTGAATAAATTGCTCATTCCTTTGGTATGGAGTTCTATACCTTCCTGTATCCCAATGACTCTTAAGTTTGGTCTCTTAATGTTATCCCATATTTCTTGGATGTTCTGCTCATGGTTTCTTAACAGTCTTGCTGAGCTGTCTATGTTCTTTTCAAGTTGAAATACTTTGTCTTCATTGTCTGATGTTCTATCTTCTAAGTGTTCTACTCTGCTGGTAGTACTCTCAATTGAGTTTTTAAGTTGGTTTATTGCTTCCTGCATTTCTAGGATTTCTGTTTGTTTGTTTTTTATAACCTCTATCTCCCTGTATAGTTGATCCTTTGCTTCCTGGATTTGTTTGTGTAATTCCTTGTCGAAGTGATCTTTCATTGTCTGATTTTGCTGTCTAATTTCTTCCTTGATACTCCAGATCATCTGAAGCATATATATCCTGAATTCTTTATCTGACATTCCATCTGCTGCAGCTGTTACCTCTTCTAAAGTTGAGCTGACCTGCATTGCTTGTAGTCCTTTATTTCCTTGTCTTTTCATACTGCTTGCGTTTCTTTCTTCTTGGTGAAACTGTTGTGTTTTTGAAATTTTTTCCCCCCCTATATATTTATATTGCTCTTGTATAGTTGAAAAGTCTCCCTTGCAGGTGCGGGCGGGGGCTCTGCTCTGCCCCTCCTCCAATTGGTGTGAGGTGTCTACCACGCCCGCGGACCCCTGGGCCTGATCCGCCGTTCTGTCGCAGGTCTGCCTACCTTGCAGGTGGGGGCGAAGGCTCTGCCCTGCCCCTCCTACCACGCCCGGGGACCGCTAGGCCTGATCTGCAGGTTGGTCGCCTGTCTGCCCACCTTGCGGGCACGGGTGTCAGTTCCGCTCCGCCCCCACTCCAGTTGGGGTCACTTGACCACCACACAGGCGGGCCGCTGGGCCTGATCTGGGCGCGGGTGAAGGCTCTGCTCTGCCCCTACTCCAGTTGGGGTGAAGTGTGTACCACGCTGGCAGGCCGCTGGGCCTGATCCACCGGTCTGTTGCAGGTCTGCTTACCTTGCTGGCGCGGGCGGTGGCTCTGCCCTGCCCCTCCTACCACGCCTGCAGACCGCTGGGCCTGATCTGCAGGTTGGTCGCAGGTCTGCCTACCTTGCGGGCGCGGGCGGTGGCCCCGCTCCTCCCCTCTGGCTCGACGACAAAGCGAGAGAGACTCGGGTATCTGTGACTCACCCTCCCTACCAGGGGACCAAGTGTTTCCGTCGCCGCTGGCACCGATGAAGTTTTCTCCTCGGCCGCTCTCCGATGACATCAGATCTCTGCCATGCTGGCATCCCCTGTTCTATGGCTGAATCCCATTTTCTTCTCTTCCAATAGGCGGAGCTGTGCCCTCTGAGCCGAGCTTCTGCCCTCTATGTGCTGACAGAAATCCCTGTACAGTGGCTCCTGGGAGTCTCTCAATCCTGTTAGTCCAGAGCCCTTTCACTTATCCGGCCCCTCCCCCTGTTCCTCCTCCCAGCCAGCCAGCCAGGTCCTGTTCACCAGAGGCGGTTCCCCAAGGATCTGATTACACTTGCAGCCCCACCGCGTGTCCTATATCCCGAACGATGAACACCCTCTCTGTCATTCAATTAAGCCCCAGAGCTGTGGTGGGGTGATCTGGGAACCAACAGTTTAATTTTTCTGGACCCCTTTGGTGGGCACGCCCCCAGAAACTGGTGGCTAAGATCTTGGGTGTCGCCGCTGGTGTTAAGGGGAGGTGGGGATCTGGAATCCCCTCTGCTTCCCTACAGACACGCCCCCGGTGGTTTCCTGGCTGCTTGTATCTGGAGGGGGTGGGAGTCACACACCTGCTAATGTGGATTCCGCTGGGAAGGAATTCTGTTGGCGGAACTCTGTTGATGTCACCACTCTGCTATGGCGGGCCCCAGGCTCCTTGTCGGCGTGTCCGAAGGGAGGGGTGGGACTGGTCTGTCTCTGGTTGGTTTCAGCTCCCGGTTTGCTATTTCATGAAGGCTTGGCGAGAGACCTCTTCCTAGAGTCCCTGCACCGCTCCTGCTGCGCTGCGCCTCGGAGGCTATCCGCCCTGACGCGGGGGCCGCGTGCAGACAGCCGGCAGTCGCTGAGTCGCGCGGGCAGCGGCTGGCGGGTCTGGACCTCTGCGCTGCGTGGCGGAGATTCACTCGTCTAGCGCAGACTGTCACCTCCAAAAATCCTTCCAATTCCCGGCCGGTCTCTCTTTAGTGGAATTTTGCTAGGAGTTTCTCAGCAGGTCTAATCTAAGCGTATCCATGCGTCTCTCTGATCCCGTTGTTGAGGAGGTACTGAAAGCGCTGCCTCCCCTCTCGCCGCCATGTTGGATCCTCTTGCCATCTTCTTTCTGAATCAGGAGACTAGAAAAGCTTCATACAAAGTGAATCTTGGGAGCTCCTGGAGAGTCATGTGGTGATATTAAAGGAATATTTAAGTGAGCTATACACACTATAACTTGTAGTTTCTTTGAAATAGCTTCTTTTAAGTAAATGTAAGAGGGGTCCCAGAACAATAAACTCAGATCTCTGAACTGGTTTAGTTTGTCAGGTTCAATTTCCCTAGCATTTGGATTTTTACAGAGAGTAAAGTTGGGAAGGGCTCTCACTCCCTCCTTGGGCTTCAAGGACTTTAAAAATGTCCTGGCTGCACCAGAAGCTGGAGAGCTCTGCATTTTTGCATTTATCATTTTGCATTTAGGGCAGGTCAGGGAATAGTGGGAAGGTCATGGTATTTATAACCTAAAGAAGATCATGGGATCCCAGTGACCCCTTTCCATCTTAGACCCTCAGTTTTGACATGTCTATAATGTAAAGAATATCAATACATACTCAATCAGAGTGCTGTTAGCGTTAAATTAGACAACACATGGGAAAGAAATTTGCAAGTTATTATTTTTGGAGGTATTTGAGTTCTCCTCCCGTGCTTGACTGTGGCTGGTGCTTTACCATCCGCTGTTTCTAAAGACCTGTTAAAGTTATTTTTCTGAGTGCTCAATTCATCAGGATCCTGGCAGGAAACAGATGGTGCACTCATGCTGGAAAGAGTTTAATAAAGGGACTGTTTACAAAGGTGTGTGCAGGATTTAGGAAAAGCGACTAGGGATGTTGCAGTACCCCAGTAGGGAGCCATTTCCAACTCTAAGCCAGAAGGGGGAAGAGGAAGAGTGTTTGCCAGAACCTAGAGAGTTTTTGCAGAGGCACTGTGACCTTTGATGGAGAGATTTGTTCAACCCACAAAAACCTACCAGGGAAAGATCTTGGGGGAGGAGGAAGGATCCTGATCTCAATTTCTTGCCTCCTTTTCATCTCCTGCAGGTATCCCTACTGGTTGAACCCTAAGGGAAGCCTGAGGCACAAGGAGCTCTTGATGTGGTGCATACAGATCAGCTGCCAGGCCAAGGTGGAGAAAGTGGAGAGCAGACCTGGGGGCAAACAGAAGGTACTGAGCATGGCCACATAGCTCTCCTCTTCGTTAACCATGACCTTCTTTACTTTGGTCAGATTTGGTCCAGAGTCAACCTCATGCAAAATTCAGTTGTCTTCGGTGGCTCAGCTTCCCTTCTGTATCTTCTCCACTTTCAGAACATTAACCCTCTTCTTCTAAGCTCTCTTGTGTTCTCTTGCTCCTCTAAATCTTGTTGTGAAAAACATTAATACAAGAAATTAATTCACGCACCTAAATGTTTTATGCCTAATTGTTATTTCAAAACACACATACCTATTTTTGTTCCTGGGATCGCTAAGTTGCTACCAGTCTGGCCACAGATGAAGAATGCAAAGAGCAGCTACCTGAAGGTCTCAGGAAGCGAATCAAGGCAAGCAAGTTATGGAAGGTAGTTGGCACATGGATGAAAGGACAAGCCACTAAAGGTTGCTAAAAGAAATTAAAGATCTAAAAAAAAAAAATGGAGAGACTTGCTGAATTCTTGGACTGGAAGAATTTACATGGTTAAGACATCAATTCTTCCTAAATCAATGTATAGTTTTAAGGCATTCCCAACCAAAATCCCAGTAGGTTTTTGTTTTTAGATATTGAGAAGCTGATGTTAAACTTTATATAGAAGTGAACGAACCATTTAACATAGTCAAAACAACTTAAAAAGAACAAAGTTGGAGGAATCATACCTAATTTTAAGACTTATCATAAAAATAGCAGCAATCAAGATAGTGTGGTAATGGTGTCAAGATAGATAAGTATATACATATAATGGAAAAATAAATCCACACCTGTACCATCAGTTGATATTTGATAAAACTTTGAAAGCAAGTCAGTGGAAAAAAGATGGTCTTTTTAGCAATTAGTGCTGAAACAGCTGGACATCAAGATGCAAAAACAAAACAAAACAAAACTCTTTGAGTAAAATCTGGCAACATATACAAATCCAAAATGGACCATACATCTGCAGGTAAAATTAAAAAATATAAAATTTCTAGAAGGAAACCTAAGAGAAAATGATGACAAAAGTTAAAAATTAGGCAAAAGTTTCATAAAATTCATACAAAAAGCATAATTCATGCAAGAAAAAATATAAATTAAATTTCACCCCAAATTAGTAGCTTTTACTTTTTTACAAAACAGTGTTAACAGAATGAAGTTTGGCTATATTTTGGAAAGAAATATTTTAAAATCACCTATCTAATAAGATTGTGTAAGAAATGAGGAACTACTGTAACTCAGTAATAAGAAAGCAACCAAATTAAAAAATGATCCAAAAAATTGAAACAGACACTTTCAAAAAAGAAATATAGATGGCAAGTAAGTACATTAAAATTTTCAATATAATAATTCTTTAGGGATGATTTTTAAACCACAGTGAGATACCATTGCACATCTGTTAGGATAAAGAATGACCAAGGCAAGTCAAAGATGTGGAGAAACCAGAACATTTACGCTGCTAATGGATGTGAAAAGGGCTCCAATCACTTCAGAAAACAGTGCGGCCATTTCTTAAAGAGCTAAAGTTATAGTCACCACATAACCCAGACATTTTACTCTTAGGCTTTTTTGAAGAGGAATCAAAATATATGTGTATTCAAAGATTTGAATACGATTATCCAGAGAAGCTTTATTGTAATAGTAAAAACAAACACACAAACAAACAAAAACCAAAAAAACTAGAAACAACCCAAATGTCCATCAGTAGATGAATGGTTAAGCAAATTGTGGTCTATCCATACAATGGAAAAACTTGGCAATGAAAAGGAATGAATTATTGATACACGCAACGCGTAAGTTAAATTCAATATTCATGATCCTGGTTGTGGTGACAGTTTCATAGATATGTGTGCATGTCTGTGTATGAGAGAGAACTTATCAGATTGGCAAATTTAAGAAACTCCAGGTTATTATAAGCCAATTATATATCAATATGGCACTAAATAGCAATAACAAAAGGAAATGTTTATTGAGAGTTGAGTGATCACAGTGTAGAGAGATTGAGCTCTGAAGCCAGAACATTTTGGGTACCAAGTTTTCTTGTCTTACATTTGCTATTTGTATGACTTTGCACTGAATAACCCCTCAAGATTTCTTTTTCTTTAGAAAAAAAATTTTAACTGGTGCATTGTGATTATATGTAATAGTGGCATTCATTATGAAATGTCCGTACATGCACAAGAAAACAGTTCTTACTGAGTGTTGTTTATTTATTAACATAAAGCCCTGAAGGTACCCCTGGCACATAGGAAGTATTAACAAATGTTAAAAAGTTTTTACATGCTGGACACTGTTGAGAGTTTTATAAGAATTATCTCATTACAGCCCTGTGAAATGAGAAATAGGAGGCAAGTTGCAGAACCCAGATTTGAATGAAGTCAGTCAACTCTAGAACCCACATTTTTAATCCTATGAATACATGCTAATGGGTGGGGCACTGATTCAAGTGCTAATAAGAATGCTGTCTAGACAGTGCCCATGTTTTCTGCGTATTTTCTTCTCGAAGATGTAGGAAGCCACTGACGAGCAACATGCCCAGGCAGCTGTCTGAGTTCCTCTTGTAATTATTTCTGGCAGTCTCAGAGCTCACCCAACCTATTGCTTCTTCCTGGGCACTTAGTCAAACTATTTCCTAGCCCACTGGTAGCTAGTGAGGTCATGTGACCAGTTCTTGCCAGTAGGGGATGTGAATAAAAGCAGAATGTTATTTCTGGGCCAAAGCAGGTAAGAGCAGGTAGGCTTTCTCCATTCTCTACTCCCTAGACTCGCCCGCTGGTTTCTGTTTAAGATGGAGGAGTCACAACATAGGAGGAGCCTGGTTCCTGAAGGACCTGGAGCAGAGCCCCTATCGCTGACCTACATCAAAACACATTTGATGTGTTGAAGTCACTGAAATTTAGAGCTTGAGATTATTGGAGCAATTTGCATACCATGACTAACACTTCACTCTTGTGGAATATTACTTTTGCTGACTGTGGTGAACTATGCCATTAATATAGATCAAACACATTTGTGTCTTTCTGTGACATATTTGTGTCTTTCCATAGTCAGAATTTATTGAATAACAATAAATTCACAAGTGATACTATTTTTAACAGTTGCAATTCACTGAACACGTTTTGGGCCACCTGGTAGTCATAAGCTGGACCATCACAAGTTCTTTTATTTTAATCTTAACTACGAATATCTGTAGATAACACTCAAGTCAAACATCACACTTTATACAACTAAATATATATATATATATATATACACACATACATATATGTGTATATATACACATATAATATATACACACATACATATATAACATACATATACATATTCAGCTATGTATATGTGTGTATATGTTTGTGTGTGTGTGTGTGTGTGTGACACACACACACTAAGAAAGTATTAAGGTGCCAGAGGGTTCAGGAGGCTGAACAGAATGTAAAGGCAGAGAGCAGACAGGAATGTAGAGACACTGTAGGTGGTCAGATAAGATTAAGAACCAGTCTAGGAATTTATTCATGGCTCAGAGCTGTCAAAGCATGGAAATTATTCTAGGCCGAGGTCCAGATGTATTATAGTTTCAAAGTATCAGCTTGGAGTGAGCTTTGTGGGGTTGTCAGGGGCGGGAGCCCAGGGACAGAAATGAATGTTTGTCGCTGTAGTGATTTTCCCGGGCAATGCTCATGACGAATGACCAGGTGATGGGTCAGGGAATTGCTGTGTCCAGTCTTGGGATGCTCCTCCTGGAGCACCGTGTTTGCCATCTATATTTCTTCTTTGGTAGGTCTCAGGTGAGGGGGTTGTTTCATTTGGTGGTCTGTTTTTTTCTTATATGGGGTGGATACGCCCATGCATCCATGGGCTTTATGAGTAAGTTGGTAAGTTCACAGGTGGTCATTTTGATTAGCATGCTTTATTTTTCATTTTTTGCCTATGGCTATGCTGGGCAGATGGTGGCTATTCACTGGTACAAACAAGATATAGAGTCATTCTACCTTGGCATTTATACTCAAAATGGAGTAACTCATAGCAAACTACTCCTTCATAGAGTAACTTAGGAAGAAGCACCGTCTGAAAACTGTTCTATACATCATGGAGCAACTCAGAGCAGGGCAGAGCCTGCTGTCTACACTAACGCATCTCTGAAAATTTCTGGAATATAGATCAAATATGTAGATCAAGGTGGCTCACAGAGTTATTGAAATAAAAGTTTAGTTAATAGAAATAATATTTAATTAATAAGAGATAATATGGATGACACATGAATAAGCATTCTGATATTTAAATCACCCCCAAATTCCAATATTTAACTGTCCTTTATCATTCACAGTGGCTGAGTGGTGGCATGTGTTCTTGTTTCAAACTCCCTATTGGCCTTTGCTGCATGTGTTTCCTGTTTCCTGGAGCCTCTGCTATAGGCATCAGTTCCAGGCTTTCCAAGACCCACAAGTAACTGAATCATCTCTGGCCCTCTGAGCCATATAATTGTCTCCCTGGTTGTTTCGAAACCTACCACTCATGTCTTAAAGTGAATTCGATGGGACAGGTTGCTGCCATCTGTTTTTCAACTGCTACTTTTTTTCTTCCTTACTCCTTGGAAGGCTTGCTTTCTAATCATTTTACCAACTTCCGCATCTGGGTTGTGTCTTCTTTCATACTGTGCCCTGTCTCTACTATGACACTTCATGGCCTGCAGACAGCCCTGTGGTTCCTGCTCCACAGCTGGGTTGTGACTCCATCGATCTCCTGGCACAGAGGCTTTTCTCTTGGTTTCCTGGGGGTTCAAATGGAAGAGAGAAAAGGAACACTCACCACCCTGGCTTGCGGACCATCTATGACAGCCTGAACACAGCATTATTTTTATGGTTAGTTTCTCCCTTTCCTAGTTCTGCACTGAAAAAGAAAGAAAGGAAAAAGAAAAAAAGAAGAAGATGAAGATAAAGAAGAAGAAGAAGATGAGGAAGAAGGAGAGAAGAAGGAAAGAGAGAAGAAGAAATAAAAGAAAAAAG